TGCTGCACTATCATGGTTCGAGGTCGAAACGGAAGTACATTATAGATGAGAACACCCTCTGGGAAAGCAAGGCTATGTGAAATTACGTGGAAGCGTTATCTCTACTCATACCATTGTGGGAAAATTCAACTACTAGTTCTACATAACTTTGAATAAAATAGGGTGAATATATCTCATAATATATTCCGTCCAAAGAGCGGCTGGGTAAGACAAAAAGGGTGATATTTTTGTGGCCTCAGACTCTTGGTATATAGAATAGCTTTGTATTCTAATTACCTTTTCATAGATTTTAATAAATTTATGAATTTTTCTGAATTGATAAGAACAAAGCAAACAGTGATGAGACTAATTAAATTTACAGATGATCCTTAGTTGATACAAAATTTAAATGCTAGCATAGTAAAGGGGGTATAGTTGCTCACAAATGAATATCACTGTATTAAACAAATAAATAAAGCATGAATTATGATGCTATGAAATATAGACCACAAAAGAAAGGGATAAAAATGCATCGCCATCAATTCATTGTGAAAACGAAGCCAAATAACTTCCATACAACTAAAGGAGCAAATAATCATTTTAGTTTTTCTACCTCAATTTGATTATTTTTTACTATTTACTACTTGATAACGTTATATGGGTGTAATCAGTGTATGTGAGTTAAAGTATTCGTGCTGAGTTGACATTAAAATGAAGCATAACTACAATTATTTGATAATGTCATACTTAATATCCATCAAAGTTCACATATTCTTTTTTCTGTTGCAGTGATTTGATTAAGCAATATCAAAAAGATTTCGGTGGTTAGAACAGAGATCAATTAAGAAAAGTGTTTTTAAACTGGGAGATAAAAGTATAAACGATTAAAAATGAATTGCGGAAATTTCAAGGATGTTTTATTGGAGTTATAGCCAAAAATATAAATTAAACCCAGGAAATAGAAATCAATATTTGGGAACAGAGACCGAAGAACCATCCTTTACGTAATTAACTTTAGAGGACTTCAGTATTCATAACTTTGGTTCAAGTTCCTTTTGAATGAGAAGTGTCTTTAATAAATAGAACGAATTCTTATTAGACTGCTTGCTACCCTTAATGAGAATACGTGGTAACGAAGTTGCGGATGCAATGTGTGATTTTTATCTAGCTGGGAGAGAATATCTCACATTTGAAGAGTATAAGCATTATTCAGATAATGTCTGGCAGAACGTATAAACTTAACAGGCTCAGGCTGGACCTATGAGTTAGAATCACAATTCATCGTTAAATGAAAGAAACTAGTATGAGGCTGAATTGTAAAAAAATAAGATGGATAGCTCAGATTACCCATACCCCTATGTCTTAATCACGCAAGCTGCTCGGCATCCGAGAGAGTGAGCAAAACTATCCATTCTGGCTTAGGCAACTGCTGTCATGGCATTACTTGTTCTCGAGAGAATTAACCGGAAGAACAATTTGGCTGGTGATTGTGCATTTTGGTGACTTATATTTAAACCTGTCTTCAATGACTGTTGTGGACAAAGAAATGCTCACAATATTGCATCTGGTCTCGCAAATCGTCAGCCAACCCAGACCATATATCCCAACTAGACTAATCTTATTCAACTAATCGAGAGATGAGGCATAGAATAATTTTACTTATATCATTTTGAGAAAATTCTACTACCAGTCCTTAATCACCTCAAACGAAATAGGGTGAAAACATTTCTCGAAACTCTACTCTAAGACGAAAACAACTTTACTAATGCCAAGTAACTGAAATTCGAGTTTAGATTTTCTTCCAACTATTCGATCAAAGTCAATCAAAACTTCAGATAATGCGTTATATGACCTGGTTTCTCTACCAGGTGGGGTAGTAGGAGATACTTTCGTGTAAGAAGATGCTAGTTAAAATCAGTAAAACCATCGGATATGATTTGTCACTGACTAAGACAAATTGGGGCTGCGAACAGTATTGTACGATACAACGAAGTTTGGTTCTAATCAATATAAGTGCAAAAATTACTTAATATTATTATTATTACAGAAATCTTAACAATTTTGTAGCCTGATCTTTCCCCTTTTGTTATGAGGCCTAAACTATGCTTGAACGTTCTCTTTAGTTGCATACATTTTAATTGGTTTTTATACATCTAATATAATTTATTCTAATTTTTTGGAGTCTTGAAACTAATAAAATTATGTTTTAACACTTTTCTCAATATATGCATAATTATTTATTTGGTTATTGGCTAGCCTCAACTAAAAATGGCAAATGGGCTCGTTTGGGGGTTCTTACCTCCAATGAGCATCGCGAGGATGGCGAATATCTTTTCGTTTGAGGTGTTTGGTGAAATATTGCCAAAGCCAACGCTTGTGAGGCTTGTTGTGGTAAAGTAGAGGCTCGAGACATACATTAAACCTCGCCAATTGGCTCCTGTCAGATTTCCTTCATCCGGAAGGTGCATCCGATCTCCGAGTTGATAAATCCAGCCTATCAAAATAATTAAAATGTGATCTTGTAGGTAAGGCGTGCAAGCGAGGAAGAAGTGGGATTAAGTTTAAAGTTAATATTATATTTAGTTAACGTATTTACTAGAATTGATATACATAGACAATAACTAGAGATGCCCCTTAGGAATAAGAAATTTTGATATCGATTTGAAATAACTACTCACTTCAGCTAAGCAATATTGTTAAACCATAGTAACTAAGTAAATTTTCATCGAAGATACATGAGACGGGACTTGCCTTTTGGGTGTAAGCGGACAGGTTAGGCGATGATGCACCATGGCCAAATTTAAGCAGGCCCTAATAGCAAAATTGAGACAA